TCCTGGTAACTGCCCAAGAATAATAAAATGTGGCCCAGTGAATGTTCTCAACTCTGATCTGTAATTCCTTGTCCTCTGGGGAACAAACTAGTGAGACATGCCTTTTCACATGGGCCGAGGCTGAAATAAGAGTCAGGGAAAGAGCTAGCTGCACCTTCCCCATAGGTGAAGGCTAGAGGGAGGAGGACCTGATTCACGAGGGAGGAGAAACCAGGGAAGGCTTCCTGGCTGGGGCGGACTTGAGGCTGTGAAAGGAAGCTCTGGTGGGACAATCCCAAAGGCAAAATGTTTTCTTACACGACATTGTGACGTGTCTCTAGGAACCGGATGGCCTTCAGCCGCCTCTCTCTGAACTTGTCTGAAATGTCTTTGTCTCTAGAGTGGGCATGGGAGGATGCAGGCTGCACCAGGCCTGGCAGGAACTATTGGGGCCCAGGGGGAGCTCAGGGGGACAGGCTGCTGAGCACCTGCCAGGCAATGGCATTAATTAGGAGGCTGATACACCCGCAGAAATGTTTGGGATATGACACTGGCTTTTATATTATTTACTTCCATGTCGAAGCAAGTGAGAAAACGAATCAGCTTGCCCCTGGAGGCTTTGGGCGCAGCCTGGCTGGAATAGCTGAGTCTATGCAAGAGGAAAGAAGGTAAAGATTCAGGGTAAACTTTGAATGGATTAAGAGCCAGAGAAATCTCTTCTGAATAAGGTCATTCTATCCATACCTCCTTGCAACATGCATATATGCATTTACTCACCCATCAAACTCTTCCCTTCCTCCCTCCCTCCCTCCCTCCTCCTCCCTCCCTTCCCTCTCCCTCTCCCTCCCCTTCCTTTCTTCCTCCTTTCTTCCTCCTTTCTTCCTTTCCTTGTCTGTTGAGGCCACATCCTCAGTGCACTGAGCCAGTCCTTACCCGTCTAGTTCAGCAGACTAAGTTTTCTGGCCCTCAAGTCCTTGCACCTCCGTGACCACTTAGTTAAACAACACTTGCTTGAGTCCTCCCCTTTGCCCTTGCCTCTGCGGTCCCATGCCAGCCCTGTGCTAGATCCCAATAGAGACAATCCACAATAAGTATAAAGACAGCCTCATCTCCAAGCAACGGTTCCCATAATTGAGTGGTCAGTCTATCCACCCTGAAAACAATGCAGTGCAGGACATGAAAATAGACCACACGCTGAATGTCCATGAGGTGCCAGGAGGTCACGGGAGGTAGCGGGGTAGTCAGCTCATATTTCCAGGCACAGACAAGCTTTGAAGGATCTCACCAAGTGGGAAGAGTGAGGCCTAAGAAGAAGGGGAAGTAATCCCCTTTTTGCAATAGCACACCTGCGGCCATGCTGCCGGAGCACAGCTGGCTTTGAGCCCAGGTGCTCAGACTCCCAAGTTCGTGCTCTTTCTGCTCGGCTGCCTGTCTGGCCTAGGGTGGCTGGGAGGCCTTTGACATCACCCCCTGTGCGGGTCAGCGCTTCTTTCCAGGGACCACTGGCCATCCCAGCTCCAAGTGCCAGGTGCAGAATCAACATTTGACCCATTGGAACTGGGTTTCCGTTTCTGAGTTGGTTTTGATCTGATTAATCTCAAACACACATCCTTTTCCAGCAAAGGACGAAGTGTGTGTATGTGAGTGTGTGTATGTGAGTGTGTGCGCGTGTGTGTGTGTGTGTGTGTATTTGTGTGTGTTGTGTGTGAGGGTTACTTGTCATTTTTTTTTTTTTTTTACTGAGACTATACAAGGCATTTTTAAAGTTTATATTGTTTCTGATCCCCCCAAGTCCCTGCAGAATCCACAAAAGCTCTCCTGGGGTGTCTGTTTCCGAGGTAGGGAGAGCGAAATTTGCAGACGTTGTTTTACCAGTGAATACCATGAACCCACACTTCCTTTTGGTGGGGCCTCTCCTGGCCCAGTCACAGACCTGGGGCCTGTCAGGTGCTCATGATGTGTGACCCGAAGTGCTCTGTCCGGCCTGCTGAGCAATGCTTTCCTGGGCCAGGGACCCTTTCCTGGCTTCCTGTGGCCTTCTCTGTAAGCCTGGCCTGACCCTGCCATGTGTGTGACTTAAAATAACGAGGTGGTTGTCTTAGAAAGAGAAGACACATCCATCACTGGAAGGTATATTCCTGGGTCAGCAGGTTTGGACTTAGATATATTGATATGGAAAGTGACTTTTCCTTCTGAGTGGGTCTTGGGGTGGGAGGGGCTGCAGATCCTGGGCTTCCTGGTCCAAGCTGCATAGTTCAGCTTTGCAGGGTCATGCTATGGGACAGGCAGAGGATGGCTCTTGACCGTGAAGTCCACCACACACCTGACGCGGAAATCTCCCACCACCCATCACTGCCCACAGGCAGTGGCTGTGCTCTCGTTTATCACTCGGGGCCCCTGGACACCCCCACTTCCAGATGCATCTCAATCTCCATCTCCGCCTTTGCTCCGACGGGTCCCACCTCTGCTCTGAGGAGTTAGTTCTGCCAATTCATCTTTCCTCAGAAGTCCTCCCGGCAGCCCTCAGGAGAATTCTGCCAGGTGCAGAATCAACATTTGACCCATTGGAACTGGAAGCCCGAGCACACCTCCTGCCTCATTCCTCACTGTGTATCTTTTCAGAGTGCTACTTTGCTGGTGCTTTAGTCAGCTTTCTGTGACTATAACACGAAATACCTAAGATAATAAACTTAAAAAGAGAAAAGATTTATTTTGGCTCACAGTCTGGGAGGTTTCCGTTCATGGCCAGTCATCTTTATTGCTTTCGGGCCTGTGGCGAGACAGTACTTCATGGTGGGAGAACATGGTGGAGGAAGATAGTTTATATCATGGCTGGGGAAGAGGAGGAGGCTGGGGTCCCACAATCCCCTTTGAGGGTACAGTCCCAATGAGCAGAAGACCTTTCACGAGGCCCCACATCTTAAAGTTTCTACCATCTCACTCGTGGCAAGCCAAGGGCCAAGCTTTTAACACATGGGCCTTTGGGGACCCAAACTGTAGCAGCTGCTTCTGTTAGCTCCCCTGTCCTCCAAGGAGGTGGGATTTTCTCCAGGAGAGGCTCTTATTCTAATGGCTAAGAGCAGGGATTTGGGGTCAGATAGACCTGCCTTATGCTCTTTCGGCAGTTCTTCTCAGGGTCTGCCTTGAGTAGGGGATCCTGTGGGAACAGAGAAAGGACTTTGGATTTAGAATTTGGACAGCCGGGAGTTGGAATCCTGACTCGGTCACTTTCTGTGGGCACTTAATGCTCCTTTTCTGTACTGGGCCTCACTGCAGTGCTTATCTCACCAGGTGGTTGTGGGATACAGTGAGTGCCATGATGTATGTAAACTAATACAGCACCTGGCCCAGGGTACGAGGCTCTAGGGTACATGGCGCCCAGGCCTCCGCTATGCATGCTCCTCTCACATGCCCTGCTACACCCATGAAATGGACTAAGGCACCCAGGCCTGTGTGAGGAAGGCCCTGTCCTGGGAGAACTCCAGCTTGGTTGTCTAAGACCAGCTCCGGTGAAGCGTCCCAGGTGGTGTGGGCGCCCTTAGGCCATCTCTTGCTTGCCCAGTTCCCCTTCCTGGTTCTGCACTGTCCAAGATGGCTGGGTTTTCATTCCCTTACTACATTCTTGCAGATCCCAAGGAGACAACAGAACAGAATAGGGGTGAGAGAGAAAGAAAGGTCCCAAGGTTGGCCCTCCCGGGTCTGCAGCCTGTAGAACTGTGTACCACAACCACGGCTCTTTTCCTAGCTGTTGGGAAACCGGGCAAAGGGGTGAAGAGCCAGGCCCAAACCACCCCAAGGTCAAGGTCAGGCTCAGCTACATGGAAGCCAGCCCTGTGAGCCTGTGCAAAAGCTACCCTTTGCTTATGTAAAGCAGGGAGAGCAGGGGCTGCGGCAAGGTGAGGCTAGCACTCTGCCCTGCACAGAGTCTGCTGCAGCCAACACTCCCTTTGTCACTAAGGATCATGACCAGGATCTTCACCTGCACCTCATGGCTTCCCCCAGGGTCCCCTCTCTCAGCTCCCACTTCAAACAGCACCCCAAAGTCATCTCTGCTTCCAGGCTTGGACTGAAGAAATCCTGGCCCCTGCTGGTGCTGGACACCAGGGGAGCTCCAGGTCAAGGCCACTCACACCGGTGGCAGAAGGGGGGCCTCCTCCAGCTTCCCCTTAGGATGAGCCCTTCAGAGGGCAACGGTCACCTGCTTGTCCGTGCATTCATCAAGAGGGAGGGGCTGAGGAGGAGGGGGAAAGAAGTGGGAGGCAAAGTCCTTCTACCCTAAGGCCAACAGCCTCTTCCTCCATCTGGCAGCCCAAATGACACTTCCTATCCGAGGTTTCTGTGCTTTAGGAACAAATGGAGACACTCAGAACGTGACGTAGCTCCTGAAATGACGAAGCCCGTTTACCAAGCATCTGCCATGGTCCCGCCTGCTTCTGAGCGCGTCTGTGTGTCCTCACAGTGCTGCTGGCCTGTCATCTACCCTGTCCTCCAGGTGAGGAAGTGGAGGCGGAGGAGGTTAGTACGTTGCCCAGAGTCACCTAGCCAGCAAAGCGGGAGAGTATGGATGGGACTCCAGGCAGCCTGACTCTTAGACTCAGCATCCAACTGCTTTGCTCTCACGATGGTTATCTCTGCTCTTGTTTTAAAGAAAGGAATAGTGTAGTTCAGAGAGGTCAAGAAACTTGCCCTAGGACACAGAGCTAGCGAGGAGCAGGGCTGCATTCAGACCCTGGTCACGGGGCCCTAGCCTGGCCTCATTCGGTTTCAGGATTACAGCGGTCCACCTGAGCCTCTCAGCCTCCAGAGACAGGAGTGGGTTGATTCTGTGGCCCCTGGGCTGGTCTAGGAACAGGGCCTGCAGGGAGATGCCGATCCTAGAGGCCACTGTCTCCGCAGCTGCTGGAGATGAAGAGGCGGGCTGCGGGGCCAGCGGAGGCCTGGGCGTCCTGCCAGCACAGCCAGCGTGAACTCGCATTTTGTCATCAGCTCCCTTTGCCTGATTTAATACAACCTTAAATAATAATGGGGCCGGGGGAGGGGAGCGCGGGAGAGACGACGCGGCCAAGATTCCGTGTAACAATCTCATCAAACCCGGCGCGTTCCCTTCGCTATTGGAGAAGCAATTTCTCCTCTGATGTAAACATTTTTTTGAAATGATGATTCCGGGCTGAGTGGTACCTGGGAGCCGCCGCCAGGCTTTCCTCCAACTCCCTCTGGTCCTCAGATGGAGGCAGGACGGGCCTGTAACCATGGCGATCCTCTGCTGTTCTGCCATAAACCGTGAAGGTGGGAGTCTTCATCACAGCCTCTACCGGGGGAAAGCGAAGCCCTCCACGACTGGGGTGGGGCAGACGGTGGCCTCTAGGGTGGCCTGAGGACAGGGGAAGAGAAGAGGAGACTTAGAACTTTTCTCCGTGGAGATGAACTGCATTGAACACTGCTGTGTCCAGAGCAAGGCTCCGGCATTTCAGCAAGGTACAGCCTGGGCCAGGACAGGGGAGCTGCTTAGATGTCAGTTGAAGGCAGGAAGGGAAGGATGGGTGGGGGAAGAGTGGGGAAGAGGGGAAAGGACGTGGTGAATCATCAGGACTAATGTCAGGTGGGCTGGGTGGGCCCACATTTTGAAAGGGTTTAAAATTCTGCTGATCTAACAGGCCCCTTGGAAACTCAAGATGATATATAGATTCTTCCTGGAGGTTGGGGTGGTGTTTTATGCTCCCTAAATCCCAACTGCCTGGGTATGCAGGCTCCAAATGGTTGGCATTGATAGTGTTCGGTGAATAAATGGAACCAATGAAGCAATGAGCAGACTAAATTTTTTAACTTCTTCGAGTGGGGAAGTGTTTGTTAGTCAGCTTGCTGCTACTGTAACAAATCCCTAAGATAATCAACTGGTCAAGAGAAAAGGTTTATTTTGGTTCACAGTTTCAGAGTGATCAGGTGGCCCCATTGCTTTGGGGGAGGCAGCCCATCTTGGCTGGAGCACGTGATGGAGAAAAACTACTCACTCCCCTCATGGCTGGGAAGCAAGAGGGGAAGAAATAGCATTCTACAAGCCCTTCAAAGTTACGCCCCCAGTAACCCATTGTTCTCCCACAAGCTCCCACCTCCTGAAGTTTCTACCACCTCCCAACAGGGACCAATTTGGGACCAAGTCTCTTAACACATGGACATTTGGGGAGGATTCCAGACCCAAACTATAGCAGTAGATCATAATTACCTTGAAAACGTAAGTGAAATTGAAGTTACGAATTCTTACTCCAAAAGACACAAAACACATTTTATGTCTTTTCAGGGTGTTCACCATCTCTGGCCATCATCCCCACACTCCATACTGAGAATTCCTCTAGATGCCCCTGGACACCAGTCACTTTGGTCATCAGCAACAGAAGGGCCTACCATGCTGCCTTGGTTTCCCAGGGTGACCGAGAACGGGTGGGTCTGAAGAGCACTCTTGCCGCTAATCTCCAGGCTGTCGGCTTCATCTGAACCGTTTGGAGTCTGGAGGCTTCAAGTCACCTGCAGAGGGAATTCAGATCCTCCTCCAGAGAAAGGGACAGCATGTGGGCCCCCGGCAGCCATCCCTTGGCATTTCTACTGACCCTGGGGCTGCCACGCTGGGCTCTGTTGGTGCTGTGTGGTTTTGCAGTTGCCAACAGGCCCTGCTGATTTCTGATGATCTCAAGCCGCGGTGCCCGCCTCCTCTCCTCCCCCCACCACCAGCCTTTCCCATCCATGCAGAGTGTTCTCATGACTGTCCCAGCCGAAAGCAGAGAACTGTTTCCCATTCATCTTTGTGTTCCTAGGGCCTGGCTGAGTGTGGGGGTCCTGATACTGCTTGGATGAAGTGACCTCTGGAATCATGTGGGGATTCCAGTGTTCTCTGGATTCTCGTTATTCAGTATTATTTGAGCCTTTGCAGAGCTGGGGTTCTGAGGGTGAGTCCTATCTGGGCCACTGCTCAGCTTCAAGTTTACAATATAAAAGAACCCAACATTGGCCATCATTTCAGATCTGAAATTTCTTGCTCTTGGTTGGTGAACTGAGGGTTGTTTCCTTTTTAACCTCTTCCTTTTACCTAAGAAGTTCCTTCCCTTCAAAGTAATCCTTGACTCTCATGGACAAAATGTGTTATTCCCTCCCTTAGTCCCAAGATCTGTGAGTCATATCAAATTATACCTCTATGGATCCATTTATTGGATTCAGAATTCCTTGACAATGGAGACTGTCAAATTCATTGTGGTAGCCTTGTGTGTGTGTAGTGGTGTACACATGCATGCATGTGTGTGTGTATATGGTATGGGTGACACACACACACACACACACACACACATACATTCACAGACATGTATATTGTGGCTGTTGGTAAAGAGCCAACAGTTCACGTGCTGCAGGGATGGGGTTGTCCCCTCTCTATCCACACCCTGTGCTATGTCACTTTGCATTTCCTCTCACTAAGGTGGATTCTACTTCCTGCCCTTGACTTTGGGTTTGGCTATTGGACTTGCTTTGGCCAATGGGATGGATACATGTGACATGATGCAATAGAGGCTCTTGTGCTCTTGTGATGGGGACTTGCCCTCTGTGCTTTCACTGTCACCTGACTTGCCCCTGACTCAGGATGAGGATGGGAAACGCTGGAGTGGAGCTGCCCCAGCCAACCTGCAAACTTTTCAGCGAAAAATAAATGCGTATTGTTGGATGCCGTTGAGATTCGGAGGTGGTTTGCTAAGCAGCAACCATTGCTTAATGCAATTGTTCACCTCAAATGTAGGCTGAAAAATCACACAAGGGCTTGTGGCGTTGGCTGTCTTTAAGGGTTGACATGGAGCTTTTAGAAAGAATGGAACATCAAGGAGTGACTGGGAGAACTGGCTGGTTATTATCCAAATGGAAGACGAGAGGGAGGTGGGGGAGACGGAAAATTTCCCAAAGATCTTCCTCTGAAAGCCAAGCCTGTTGCTGTCTGAACCTGAAGGGTGATGACTTTTATGGAGGGGAAAAAAAAAAAAAGAAATTGGATTCCTTTGAAAAGCATCACGTTCTCCCCCCTAGTTACAAAGCACATTGCTTCCTGTTGCTGACGGCTGTTACTCTGCAGCCTAAAATAATGTCTCTGTGCACACACGAGGGTGTTTGGGTTTCAGACAGAGTCTGACTTAGATGCCTTTTAGAAAATTGGACTTTTCCATCATTCTGTCATGGTATTTCCTGGCCAGTGCTATTGCATTGTGGCTGGCATATGGGACGGGACACAAGAGGTGAGGGAGCCTAATTAGGTTTCCACTCTTAGCTGTGGCTGGAGAGCTTCACACAGTGGCTCCCTTCAAAATCTGGAGGTACCGGAGATGACAATGGCCAGGCAAGAGGGCAACGTTCCTTCCCACTCACTTTTAGTCCATAGCAGTTCTCCAGGGAAACGGGGCCCGGTGCTGCGGACAGGAATTGGGACATGGATGACCTCCTTCAGGATCCGGTGGTGGCCATTGGCTGGAACAGTCATTTTCACTTAAATGAAAAGCTTCCCCCGGGGGAAGGTAGACAAGGACAGATAATCACATAAGTAAATAGAAGTTTGTAACAGTGCAAGGTGAAGGAGGGGCTACAAGAGCAAGTGGTAGAGGTGATTGGGGCATCAGGGAGGGAAGATGATTTCTGAAGCCCCAGGCTGCCTTCGTCTTATCAGGACCGTTTCTACTCCATATGGAGCTTTGCCCAGGCTACTCGGTGCCCTCGTACAGTGCGCCACCTGCCGGGATGTCCACGATTCCGCTCCTCAGCCCCACACCCGGGCTCTCCTCATGGACACTCAGGCGTCTTTCCACAGTCCTGAGAGGTGGTCTGGCCCTGCTTCCTTGACTCATGGGTGCTGGGCCTGCTAAACCACGTGACGACAGGCTTCTAAGGGCAAGTCCTGTTTCAAGGGCAGGGGACAGTAGATCACGTGAGAGCATCTGCTTCGCTGTGCAGAGCGTGTGGCTTTGCCGTTTGAGCCTTTGCAGAGCTGGGGTTCTGAGGGTGAGTCCTATCTGGGCCACTGCTCAGCTTCTCTTATTTTTGTCCCTGCTCCCAGGTGTTGTTGGGCAGGCCAGGGTCTCTCCCAAATCACCGAGGGGCAGGAATTCTCAGGTCTGCGTGACTTCTGCAGTGACACCATTGCCGCTCTGACTGTTGGTCTCCTGGCTGACACTAGGGAGGAGGGCAGAGGCTTGGCAGCTCCCAGGCTCTGGAGTCTGGTAGAGACCCTGCCTTGGCCTCCCCTTAGCTCCTCCTCTAGGAGCACCCTATTTTTGCCGGTCCTCCCTCCAAGCCCCATGCAGCTGGCCTCTGTGGGGCCTTTGCAGTGGGTCATGTCTCCCTGCCACAGGGCCCAGCCTGCAGCCACCGGATTCTTGACTTGGAGTCTCCATGCCAGGTGAGGTGACAGAGGCTGGGAATGGGGGCTCTCACCAGGTTCCCACAGTTTGGAGAGGATAAGCCCATGCTCTACAGGGAACCCTGCACAGGGGTCTCCAAACACAGACTCCTACCCCCCAGGGTCACTTTCAAGGTTCAGAATGTGATGTAGGTCGAATTTGCAATGGTCTCTCAACTTGCCTCCCTGCCTCTGATCTCTCACCTCCAAATCCATCATGCGCTGCTGCTGTTGCTTTAACCATCTTAAAACCAAGCTGTGATCATGACATTTCCCACTCTACAACTTTCAGTGGCTCCCCATTGCCTCCTCAATAAAGTCCAACATGGCAGCCAAGAAGGCCTTCCATCCTGGCCTCAGCCCACCTCTTCCACTTGGCCTCTTGGTTCTCTGCCACTGCGCTCCAGGTGCTGACCTCCCCTCCCACCTGTGAGTCCCTAACCACTCCAGAAGTTTCCATCCTGTGCATCTTTGTTCTGGTTTCTCCCTTCCGCAAATCTCCCTTCTCCGGTGCTGGCTGTGGAGATCCTCCCTGCCTTCCAAGGCCCGAGCCCCGTGCTGTGTCTACCAGGAAGTCCCTCTAGCGCCCGTGGGAACCTTCCGTCACCTCTAGGTCAGACCTGGGTCACTGCATGTGTCTTCTCGGCTGTTTTTCTTTCTGGGTTGAAAATCAACTCCTGGAGTCTAGGAGAGTCGTGGTCAGCACCGTCCCTGCGTGTGGCATCTTGCCGTAGCAGGTCCCACCGTGATTCCTGCGTGAGAAGGCGCCGTCACCTGGTGGCCCTGATTGCTAAGCAGAGGAAACACACATAGGTGCATAAAGTGTCATGGGAACGAGATGAAAAGTGAATCAGTGACCATAAAAAGTAAATCGGGGTCAGGGGACGTAAAATGGGGCAGCCGCGGCGGAAAACAGCGCATTTCCTGACCTTCTGAGAGGCGCTGGGAGTGTGGCTTGGTGGAGGACCACAGGCTCACCATGTGCAAGGCTCCGCTTCCATTCCTGGTATCGAATAAACAACAACAAGAATTAGTTTACGACCCGGCAATTCCACTCACGGGCATTACCCAGAAGAAACCAAAGACGGGACTCGGGGAGACACTCGTGCACCCGGGTTTACAGTACCCACAGGGTGGAAGCCACCTGTTCTAGACCAAATGTTTGGGCCCCCCTCAAAATTCATATGTTGAAAGGTGTTTGGGAGGTAACTAGGTCCCAGAGGTGGAACTTCACTCATTGCCCTTGAAAAGGGACCCTCCCCAGAGCGCTCACACCCTTGGTCTGTCACTTCAGAACACAGTGAGAAGATGGTCATCTGTAATCTATAAGAGGCCTCGCCAGAATCCAACCATGCTTGACCCTGGTCTTGGACCTCCTGCCTCCAGAACTAAATAACTGCTGTTTATAAGTCCTACGGTACTTTATTACAGCAGCCTGAAGCGTCTGAGATACCCTTAAGTGTTCATTAGTGAATAAATGAATTAACAAATATGGTATAGACAGTGGAATATTAGTCAGCCTTAAAAAGAATCTCATTCTGATGCAGGTTACAGCACAGATGAACCTGGAAGGCATTATAGAGTGAAATAAGCCGGTTATAGAAGGACACACATTCTGACTCCACTTACTCGAGGTCCCTAGAGGAGTCCCTCATGAAGACGGAAAGTGGAATGGTGGTTGCCAGAGACTGGGGCAGGAGGGAAGGGGAAATTAGTGTTTGTCAGACACAGTTTCAGTTCAGGATGATGAAAAACTCTAGAGATGGGTAATAATGATATTTGCACCACAAGGTGTGCTTATGTTCCTAAGCTGAGTACTTCACAATGGTAGAATAATTTTATTTTGTGAGTGTTTAACCACAG